AGAGAGAGAGAGAGAGAGAGAGAGAGAGAGAGAGAGAGAGAGAGAGAGAGAGAGAGAGAATGGGATATCGAGTCGACGGCGAATCGAGAGAGGAGAGCGAATAAGGGAGACCAAGCGAGCCAAAGCGAGAAAAATAGAGTCTGCCTGAGGGCAGAGCGAGTGGAAAAGCAGGATGCGTGGTGGAAGGACGGCAGATACAGAAAGCATGGCGTGAGCGAGACGGAACGCTCGGCCGGAAGCAGTTACTCGTGCGATGTAACGAAAATATCAGGCGTCCGTTTCGCAATCGGCCTACCCGCGTTCACTCGAGTTTAATATAGAACACTCGCACGCCCTGTCGCGAAAACATCACGCTAACGTCGCTAAGCGCACGCCGCTATCGCGTTTATCGCGCTATATCGAAAATTATCGTTCCTCTTCACGCGCCCGTCTTCCTCCAGCCTCTACCGATTCGTCCACGGTCCCTACGTCCGTTACAGCGTCGACCATCCCTGGGACGATCGCTTGGAGACACCGTTTTCGCGATCCTCGGGCTCAATGTCAACGTACCCGCGGATTCGTCGCTCGCGTACACTGGGACATCCTTGGAGAAATCAATTGGGTCACTAGGAACCCTCAGATCTAAAGCTTCCCAAATCCTTATGGTCTCGGAGTCCTTCAGTGTCCTCTACGAGGTCTTTTAACACTATACCTAGCACGACGTTAATTCTCGGTCCATTTTATATGGACAGACTTGCTCTAAAAATGAGATACTTTCGTACGTTCTAAGCAACATTGCTGGTTTTTAAGGGGCGTTGGCGACGGCACGCGAATCCCCGCGACGTCGACGCCGCGCTTGGGCGTCCCTTCGGCTCGAATCTCGCGGGGACGGCGTTCCGTGACCTCGGTCATTCTAATCTCTCTTTCATGCTAATAAATTTCTGCGCGGCGTATCTGTGTATAACGTGGCTTAATCTGCCCTGCCTGCTCGTAAATCACATTCGTACAGTCGATGGCTCTCTCCGTGGACCTCTTTCCTTCGCGACCTTGCTTCCTACATGCAACCCTCAAAAAATCTGATCAGTTACAGAGGTGACCAATAATGAAACAAAAAAAAAATAGTTAAAGTGGTTTGTTGGTGCAAAACTGTCCAAGTAACAGAAGTTTCTCACTTCTCTCGGTATAAACAGCTTTCCACGACTATTCGATCCTAAAAATCAAAGCAACCGTTGAAATTTCATTCCGTTCCAACATCTCACGGCCTCTTCCCATCTTGGTTGGTCGTTTCGTAGCTTCGATAAGCCTAGCCAGCCGTACAAGTCCGTTACGTCCAAAAATTCCGCGAAATTCTCGCATGGCGCCGTCTTTCCTGAAAAGTTTATCTTCGATTAGCCCGCGATCGGCTCCACTTCTCGTTTCACCTACGGCGAAGTGCACGAACGATCAATCAATAGGATGTTCGCGGAACGACACTAGAAATATCACGCGATTCCTGGAACACCGCGGGCGTTCCGCGAACATCGCTCTATCAATCCCGATTCTTTCCCTCGACCGCATTATTGGCTGCTATTTTTGCGTTTCCGGGACGATGCACTTCGCGAATCTCTAGTAAGTACAATGGCTGTCCCTATTAGAGCAGAGCGCGTTACGCGTCGTCGTTGGGAAGCTGCAGGCTCGAAAATTTTCGGGATAAGTCGAATAAAACGCGAGCTATGTATATTGTTAACACGTATAATAATATGTATGAAGTTATAGACTTGGTCAGAAAATAGGTACGATAAATTGAAATCTCTATAATGGAATAAATGCAAATTACAGAACAATTTACTGTTCGTTTTAAACGAGCCTGTCCCGAAGCATTTCGAGACCTCGAGTCGGATCGTTTAAACAAATCGGAATCTCGAGCCATATTTGTCGCGGTCCCAGTTCCGTTGAACACAATCGAGGCCCTTGTGGTTTCTCTGTTTATCGGTGGTGCTTGTCGTATGACAAGCTGTCCTCCCGTTCCTCCTCGTTGCGTGGCGGGTTGTCATCGTGTCACGGGAGCCTTATCTCTGCGCTTTTACGACTGTTCTTCCATTAACGATTACGTTATTATCGGCGCTGTATCGAGTGTAACGCATGCCACCGAAGATCGCCGTCAGGGGAAGACTTTTTTCGTCGGGTCGCCACCCTTTCACGGTCGGCTCCCGTACGCTCGGCGCGTATCCTTCGCCGGGAGAGCGATACGATAAGTGCCACGTATCGTGGCAACGCGACGTCCTGATGGTTAATTCGTGCC